TATTGTCTTTTTTTTAATTTGAAGAGCTGTTTTCTCATTTTTATAATTTCGATAATTTGCTCGTCAGTAGAGTTCATTTTTGTTAATTTTCTTGTCAGTAAAATTATATGTTATTTTTGATTTGGTTTGCTCGTCAGTAGAGTTCCATATTTTGCTAATTTATTCATCAGTAAGATTCTATGTTTTGCTCGTCAGTAGAGTACTTATTACGTTTTTTTGTTATTTTTTTATCAGTAAAGTTTTCTTTTACTTTTATCGGTATGATGTTTGTCAGTAGAGTTAATTTTTCTATTATTTGTCACTTTGCTCAATAGTAGAGATCATTTTTTATTTGTTTATTTCCTCATCAGTAGAGTTCATTTTTATCATATTTTAGTTTGCTCATTCGCATAAAGTCTTTTTTGTTGTTAGTTTGCTCGTCAGTAGAGTTCCTTTTTGCTTCATTAGTTACTTTGCTTGTCAGTACAGTCTCTTTTTGAATTGTTTTCAAGTTCATCTTACTTTCGCTTTAGTTGGCTCGTTAGTGGAGTTCATTTTTATTAACTTCCCGTAGGGCAAGTTATAGTAATCGCAAAAAAATCGAAAATGAAAATTTTTGCATTTCTCGACGTTTCAAAGGTTTCTGAATATTTTGGCATACCTTAGAAAAAATGGATGTATGTGTGTGTGTGTGTGTGTGTATGTATGTGTGTGTATGTATGTGCGGATACAAATTTTCGTCGACGATTTCGGGAACACCGATCAACCGATTTGAGTAATTCAAAAAACATTCGATTCGTATTGATAAGGAGACGTGCTGATTAGTTTTTGGCGAAGGCAGGTCTAGCCGTTCCGAAGACACGGGGCAAAAAGTGCCGAAAACGGTAACTCAGTTTTTAAGAGAACGGAGCGTCCGATTTGAATAATTCAAAAAACAGTTTACTTGTATTGACAAGATGAAGAATCGATAAAATTTTCATGAAGGTAGGTCTAGCAGTTTTCGGAGATATGGAGGAAAAGTAAAAAAATGAGCCATTTGGCGGAATCAAAAATGATCATTAGACAGGTGCACATCAAATTATCAGATATATTTATAGAGATTTTAACAAAAGTATACATTGTGTTACATTTCCTATGGGTTCCGTACCAATGCTTATGCGTTACACAGCGACGCGGCGCTTACGCGCTTTATATTTTGTCCCTATGCAGTTAAAGCAGTACGATTGCTTTGAAAAAAAGTTCAGATCTTCCACAATATGTCAAAATAAAGAAAAATTTTTTTTCCAAAAAAAAAAAACAAAAATAAATTTAAAAAAAATTATTTTTTAAAAAATTTTTTTTCAAAAAAAAGTAATTTTTTGTCCAATTTATAGTTTCTCAAAAATCTTATTTTTTCAAAGTAATTTTTTTTTCAAAAATGTTAATCGTTTTTAGAAAAATAATAATTTTTGGTACGGGAAGTTCCAGCAATTTGCCTTAAGGCACGATGCCTTAATTGCCTTAAGACAGAATTTCACTTACAGCTAGTCTTATTTGTTACTTTGCTTCTCAGTATATCTTTTGGTTCAATTTGCTCATGAGTAGAGTTCCTTTTTATCGTGTTTCAGTTTGATCGGTAGCAGTTTCTTTTGAAATTGCTTGTAGTAAAATTCATTTCTAATTTTTTTTATTGATTTGGTTGTCAGTAGAGTTCTCTACTGTCATTCCTTACTTTGTTCATTTGCTCATCAGTAGTGTTCATTTTACTTTTTTGTTAGTTTGCTCGTCAGTAAAGTCCATTTACTTTTATTGTTAGTTTGCTCAAACATACAGTATCTTGTTTGTTGTTAGTTTGATCGTCATTAGAGTTTTATCTTGTTTTTTTTTTCAATTTGCTCGTCAGTAGAGTTTCTTTCTGCTTATTCTTCTTTTGTTAGCATTTCAGTAAGTTATATTATATTTTTTTAGTTTGCTCGTTAGTAGACTTCTGAAATATTTTGTTTAGTTTGCTTGCCAATAGAGTTGCTTTTCCTGGTTTCTTAGTTTACTTATCAATGCAATTTTTTGTTAGTTTGCTCGTCAGTAAAGTTTTTTAATTTTCACCTTGTTTTATTATTTTGGTTGTCTTTTAATTTTAAGAATTTATTTTTTACAATAAAGAAGGCTACTGGCCATTAAACAAAATAGAACTCTAATAGTGAGTACACTGACAATAAAAAAAGAACTCTACTGACTATCAAAATAAAGCCATATGAAAAATATTTTATAAATTTCATTCAATTTAAAGAAAAATATTATAGACTATAAATCTTAAAATTAGTTATAACACTACATAAAAGAATTGGTATAAATTTTTTTTCAATAAAAAGGAAAAAAAAATAAATAGTTGTACACCAGACCTAGTATTATTGAGTATTCAAGTATCACTAGACACCATACTATTTTTGGGCGCACGTTGACACTTGTATCGTTTTGTAATAGAATAAAATGTATAATTAACTTTATAAATGTTTAAAGCACTTTATAATTAAATCAAATAATAAATAATACTTAATATAAATAAAATAAAAATTTGGGACTTTTAATAAATTTAAAGTTTCCACATAACCCTCTACTAAACGTACCGAAGTAATAATTCTACTAATAAAATAAATTTAACATTGAATCGATTTATATTAAAACTTATTGTTAGTGTAGGAGTATATTATAATTGTTTCTAGTTATAAATAATGATAATAATTATTATTGTTATTAATTTAGAATAAAAATAAATTATTATTACTAATAAAAAATATCCGCCCCCGGGTGGGCTCGAACCACCAACCTTTCGGTTAACAGCCGAACGCGCTAGCCGATTGCGCCACGGAGGCTCATGGCTTTCTCTTTTTAAAACGCGAACAATAGACACTCGGAACGAAACTACATACGTAGTTGATAATAGGTACGCATTAAATATTGTTACATAAAATAATATAAATTAGGTAATTTTAATATTACAATATTAAATATAAATATTGTTATTTATTAAAAATAAAAGTAAAAAATATTTTAAAAATAGAATAAACAGTTACAGTTATAGAATTTACTAACAGTTACTAATATGTAGTTAAAGCACGCGTTAGATACTGTAATAATATTATTTCCATAATCGATTTAAATAATTTTTAATTAACTAATATAGTTATCTAATATAAAAAAAAAATAAAACAATACGCATTAATCAATTACTACGTAGAATTTAATTTAAAAGTGGTTATTATTAATATTTAGCGTACGTTTCGCATCCCAGTTCGACTCAGTATCAGTGTTATTTATACTTATAATTCAATATGAAATATTCTAGAGACAATAAACATACTTCTAAATAAAAAAGTATTAAATGATTAAAATTAAAAAATATAATATATGAGCAAACAAAACTCTACAACAAAAAAGAAACTCTTCTAACGTCTAAAATTGAATTGCAAGGCGCATGGCCATCGTGCCTTAAGGCAAATTGCTGGAACTTCCCGTACCGTAATTGTAAATATTCGAAAAATGAAAATAATCGATAATTGTTTTGAAAATTTTCAAATAGATTATTTATTATAAATACATACTGTAAATTTATAAGCGCTTATTAAATTAGGCGACGAACGTATTTTACAAATAACGTATGTGTATGTTTATAAGAAATTTGGACTATATTTTTTGAATTTGATAATTTTAAATTTTTTTCAACATTTTGAAATTTTTTTAATTTTTGAAAAAAAATCTTTTTTTTAAAATTTATTGAGAACTTGGAAATTTTTGAAAATACCCGATTGTTTGAAAATTTCGAAACATTCCCAAATTTTTGTAAGAAATAGATT